TATATATATCAGTTGGCCAATTAATTTCTTTCTATTTATAGTAGAGACGGGGTCTCGCTCTTGCTCAGGCTGGTTTTGAACTCCTGACCTTGAGCAATCCGCCCGCCTCGGCCTCCCAAGAGCTAGGATTACAGGCATGAGCCACAGCGCCCGGCCTATTCTTTTTATCATTATTGTAAATGGGATTGTTTTATTAATTCCCTTTGCGGATGGTTTGTTGTTTGTATATAGAAATGCCACTACTTTTTATATGTTTTGTGTCCTACAACTATACTGAATTTGTTAGTTCTAACAGTTTTTTCATTGAGTCTTTAGTGTTTCCTACTTATATAGTCATGTTATCTGTAAAGAGAGATAATTTTATTTTTTCCTTTCTGATTTGGATGATCACTTTTTTTCATTTGTTCTTTCTTCCCTTCCTTCTCCTTCTCCTCCTCCTCCTTTCTTCCTTCTTTTGTCCAATTGCTCTGAGTAGAACTTCCAGAGGTGGCAAAAGTGGCTATACTTACTTTGTACTGGATGTTAGAGGAAAAACTTAGTTTTTCTCCATTGATTATGATGTTGTGGGCCTTTATTGTATTGAGGCAAGTTTCTTCTATACCTAATTTGTTGCAAATTTTTGTCATTCATGGATGTTGAATTTTGTCAAATGCTTTTTGTGCATCTATTGAGGTGACTGTGTGATTTTTATCTTTCATTCTGCTAATGTGGTATATTACATCAACTGATTTTCATATATTAAACAATCTTTGAATTCAAGGGATAAATCCCACCGGTATATGATCCTTTTGATGTGCTGTTGAGTTTGGTTTGACAACATTAAAATAGAATGAAATGTTTATTCAAGAATCACTGTCATAGAACCTAGTATTATATTTTATAGTAGACATAAATTTCACACACATCGAGGTAAGTTTAAATAACAGAAATTTATATTTGAAATTGCAGTACTCAATAAGATGAAACTAAATAAAAACAATTGATAAAAAACTGTGGCATAGGCCGGGCGCGGTGGCTCACGCCTGTAATCCTAGCTCTTGGGAGGCCGAGGCGGGCGGATTGCTCAAGGTCAGGAGTTCAAAACCAGCCTGAGCAAGAGCGAGACCCCGTCTCTACTATAAATAGAAAGAAATTAATTGGCCAACTGATATATATATAAAAAATTAGCCAGGCATGGTGGCACATGCCTGTAGTCCCAGCTACGTGGGAGGCTGAGGCAGGAGGATTGCTTGAGCCCAGGAGTTTGAGGTTGCTGTGAGCTAGGCTGACGCCACGGCACTCACTCTAGCCTGGATAACAAAGCGAGACTCTGTCTCAAAAAAAAAAAAAAAAAAAAAACTGTGGCATAACAGCAGTTAATCAATCCTTTGGTCATTGCCTAAATGGAAAGCATAATCTTCTAAATATGATCTCAAAAACTCATCAACATATAATTATAGCAAATGTATGCATTGCAATGAGAAAAATGGTCTTTTCAAAGTGTTCTGGAACCATGCATTTTATAATAATCAAGAGATCCAGCATCACACAGGAAAAGAGGTTTTACTTGGAAACCAAAGAGATGAATCTTAAGACAAAATCCTATCAGCTCTAGACTAATGCTTAATAAAACAGAGAGGTTATAGATGACAGTGTAGATGGGATTTTGAAAAATACATTTTTTTAATTTTTAATTAATTTATTTATTACTATTATTTTAAAACACATTTTCTCCATTGCTAAGATCTTTATTTTATTTTTTTTTATTTCAGCATATTACGGAATACAAATGTTTAGGTTACATATATTGCCTTTGCCCCAACCGAGTCAGAGCTTCAAGCATGTCCATCCCCCAGACGGTGTGCACCGCACCCATTAGGTGTGAATATACCCATCCCCTCCTCCCGCCCACACCTGCCCGACACCCGAGGAATGTTACTAATATAACATAAGTGCACGCAAGTATTGATCCTCCCTTTGCCACAAACCAACCAAACAAAAACTCTTCTTCCTCCCGCCAGCAGAGAGCACTGGTGCCATATGCAGCATAACAGCCAAGCTGCTCAGCCTTCCCTAGGCTCTAACTGCTACGAGGAAGCACATGGAAATTGTCCCTATCGGACATCCGTAGTTGACTTGCCGTCGCCGAGCAACGAAGGAGTGGATGGGATTCGCCCTAAGCGCTCGTGCGCGCGACCGTCCAGACGGAAGCGGAAGTGCCAGTAGCGCGCAAGCAGGAAGTGGTGTTTCCTGGAGTAGAGATGGCCGCGCTTGCTCCGCTGCCCCCGCTCCCCCCCCAGTTTAAGAGTATACAACATCATCTGAGGACGGCTCAGGAGCATGACAAGCGGGACCCTGTGGTGGCTTATTACTGTGAGTCTTTCCGAGTCGCCGCGCTCCTCCTTTCCCAGTTACACTCTGGGGCCCAAGCACTGCTCCTCGGTTCTTGGGGCATGCCCCGCCCCACAGGCTTTAGACCTGAGCCTTGACCTCTGGCCTGCCCTGGGAACTCCCTGGGTCCCCGCCCTCCTGTGGGAGCCTGAGCTTCTCGCTAGCCCAGAAAGGCAAAAATCCCCAAGCACCATGGTGTCCACCACTTTTCTCGTCTTGCACTTAAATGCTCCAGAATTGATTCCATGGGCCCGTGAACTCTGGAACTCACTTCCCCGACGTTTTCTTTCTGTTTGTACACTCGAGTCTTCTGTCTCCACTAGGAATCCTGAAAATAACCTAGATAGTGGAGTAATTGAGTTGGGTTTGAAACGAAAATGAGTGCCCCGAAGATAGTAGTAATGTGGATAAAAGGAAGATAGGCTAGTTGAAAACATAAGAAGTGAAGGTTAATCATGACAGCATGCAAGCTGATTCAGAAACTTATAAATGGTTAAATGGAGAGTATCTGCTGCTAAACAAGCGGTTGAATTTGATCATTCTCTTTCTGCATCAGCATTGCTCTATCCAACCGTTGAGAATTTTTAATCTTTACTTTTTTAATAATACTTGATTGAGTGGTTAAGACCTCTAATAGCAGTATTCCCACTTTGGTTGTGATACATGTAATTTACAGTTGATGAGAAACAAAGGTTATTTGTTCAAGCCTTTCTACTTACAATAAATAAAGGTTATAATTCCAGTAATTTAATTTTAAACTTTATTTTGTATACTATACTCTACTGCAAATAAAACAAGTGACTGAATAATTGTAAACCATCTGAGAAGGATTTTCAGAGTTGCACAGCTCAGTAAATTGTGTCCTCTGTTGTGGACATTCTAAGGTTGACTATAATCTGGTCCACTGTCATCCTGCCATACTCCAAAAATACCCCATTTCTCAAATATGCAAGGCCATTTCAAACCTCCGTGTTCTTCACTTTGTTGGGATAGCCACTCTTTGTTGTTGTTTTTTTGTTTGTTTGTTTGTTTCTGTTCTGTGGGGTTTTTTTGCACACTTGGCAAGCTCCTCATGATTCGAGATTTAACTCAAATGTCACCTCTTCTGTAGGCAAGAAATGAATTATTCTCTGTGCTTGACCTCATTTTGTTTAAATCTTACTGCATTATTTCCATTATACTTGTTCTTCAGGTTCCTCAAGCAGGGTCCATTAATCATTCATTCATTGTGTGTGTGATGAGCTTTGACCTTGTACTGGGCATTACTAGGCACTGTGGCTACAGTTCCTGCATTCATGGAACTTACATACAATGGGGTGGGGACATTAAACAATAAAATAAGTCTGTTATACTGAATTTTATAAGGTTATAAAGAAAAATAGGGCAAGGAAAAGGAATAAGGGTGTACCAGGAGTAGTGATGGCAGAGAGTGCAGAGGGGATTTCTGTTTCAAAGTGGTTAGGGAACACTTCACTGAGTTGACATTTGAGCAAAGAAAGGAGTGAAAGGCAGGCCTTATATCATCTGGGAAAGAGGATTCTCCACAAAGGGACTAAAAAGTGTAAAAGTCCTGAGGCAGAGGCTTGCTAGGAGGAGCAGGGTGGCCATTATGACTGAAATGGGCAGAGCAGAGAGAAAGTGATGTGATAAGGACAAAGAGGTAATGTGGTCACAGTGAAATAAGAACCTTTTTCCTGCCTAAAAATGAATCCCTGTTTGTGGCCTGTGTATTATGTATCTTGGTGACAGCCCAAGGACCCTTTATTTCCTGTGTCCTTTATCGTCTCCCTCTTGCTGTTTCTTTCGAAATGTAATCCATTTTACTTTATTTAAAAAAAAAAAGAAAGAAAGAAGCTCTCACCGTGACATCCCCCTAAAGTTGCAGTCCTGTCTTCCCAACTGATAGATAAACTTGAAATAGTGGTCTGTAGTTGGCTTTACATCCTTATCTTGTAGAGAGCCTTTTTAGCCCATTCCATTCTGGTTTTCGTGCCCACTATATCACTGAGTCTGCTCTCAGCATTGTTAGGAAGAAATATTTTTATCAATAAAGTAAGGTGTCACTTAACTTTTTTGTTATGAAACATGCATACAAAACATATATAATGTGCAATAGAGTTTAAGGAGTAATAAAATGAATACTAATATACCCACCACATTTGATGTTATTAGACGTTTTAATTTTTGCCAATCTAGTGAGTGTGAAATGGTGTCACATTGGAACAAAATTTGCAATTCTCTAAGTCTTAATAAGGTTGAACATCTTTTCATATGTTAATTAACCATTTGTGATCACCTTTTGAAATGCTTATTTTATTGCTTTTGCCCATTTTTCTGCTGCCTTGTTTGTCTTGTCTTAATAATGTGGATACTAATCCTTTGTTATATGTGTTACAAATGTCTTCTCCCAGTTCACAGTTTGATTTTTCACTCTATTTATGAAGTCCTTTGATAGTCAAAGTTTGTGATTTTAATATATAGCCAACTTATGGATCTCTTTATTTTATGATTTACAGTCTAATTTTCTAGTCCTTGATTTCTTTCTGTGTACTTGTTTAGGACTTTGGCTTCTGAATCTTTACATGGTTATCTTTCATCAATTTTAGAAAATACTATTAACTGTTCAAATATTGCTTCTCCTTTATTATCTCTGTTCTCCCCTGAAATTTTGATTAGACATGTATTGTACTTCTCTACCTTAACTTCCTTGTCTCTTAATTCTTTCATATTTTTTTATCTCTTTGTCTCTCTGTGCTCCATTCTTTGTAATTTCCTGAGGCTTGTCTTCATCTCCATATATCTTACTGTTTAACCCATTTATTGAGTTTCTATTTTAATTTCTTATTTCTGAATGCCCTCTTTTTTGTTTTCAAATCAGCATACCTATTTCTGATAGTGTCTTTTACTGATAATATATTTTAAACACTCTTATGTCTTTAAAGACTTTATATCTATTTAAATTTGCTATCTGATAATTCCTATAGCGTCTATATTTATGGGTCTGATTCTGTTGTTCAACAGAACACTGCACCTGTTACTTCTTTCCTTGTAGATGTGCATTAGGCATATTAAACCAATGCCCTTCAAACTGGAGGGTACAAATAATTCTAAAGGAGCCAATTTTCCAATTCTTAATTTTCATGTTTTACTTCCTAAAATTGATCTTTGTGACAAAGTTCCTGTGGTAAGGGTAGCAAAGTAATGTAGTATGCTGCTAATTTTTTCTCACATCCTGTTTACTATTGCTCTTCCTCTACTTTAATGAAGAAAGGCATACTCTCACATATCTTGAGTATTTTTATGGTGTATTTCTTTGAAGGAAAAGATGAAAAGTCTTCCTAGGTGTCCAGAAGAAAGAGAATTTAAATTACTGTTGTTACTGAAGCCTCCATATTTAAGGGATTAGGTATAGCTTTCTATCTTTCCATATCTTATATGGAAGAAAATCCACCAGAGCAAAGGATAAGCCTTAATTTGAAAATGCTAGTCATGAAAGTTTCCGAAAGAGGATTCTAATTTGGGCAAAAAGGGTGGAATTTGTATAAGGGGGATGCAGGAAGTCACCTAGAGTTTGTCTCTTCAAGAGCAGTTGGCCAAGAATGGATCTCAGAAGAGGGAAGAATTGTTCTAGGGTATTAGCAGCCATTGTTTGATCATTTTGGATTTTATCAAGGAAGTGAGGAGTAGCAATTTGAAGCCAAGGTCATGTGCAAGAGGGTGTGGGGAGGATTAGCTAGACATGGAAGGGCCACAATGGAAAATACTCTTTCAGGATCTCTATATCTGTTAAGTGTAATGTCTCATGATAAAACCTGTCTTGTGTTACAGTGTTCTGAATTCCCAAAATGATAAAAATTTTCATTACATAACTGTACCTCTTCATTCTCTGTTCATTGTTAAAGAATATCATTCCTGGCGTAAATACAAAAGAGAAATTAAGAAACTATAGGTGGCAGTCCCTTATTCCATCCAAACAAGGAGTTCCTGTAAAGCTCTGCAACTTATTGCTGTTTTAGAATTACAATTCAGAAGTGAGATGGGGATATGGGTGACTTTCCCATTGGAAAATTAAGTAATATTTTTCTGGAAAAGTCAATCTCATTTGGCTGATAGGTTTGGAGTTAACAACTGCCTTTGCCATTTATCCAGTATGGTAGACATTCTCCATAAACTAAATCAGCTAAAATCCTCAGCTTTATGGTTGTTTGTTTTTTTTCAGAAGCACATTTAAAATGGGTGATAAGATAAAATTATTTTTCAGGTTTCCCTTCTGTGTCCTACCATAAATAAGAAGGGTCTGATTGGAAGAAAATGTTGAATCTTTATAATATCCTTTTTGTGTACATCATAAGGATTGAGAAAATGAAAAATTATAATGATAGAGTAACAAATCCCTTCCTAATTTTTAAACAATTTTGCAGCAATCCTAATTGAACAGACAAGAAGTTATTCAGACAAGAAATCATTAAAAATATTATTTGATGATAGGTGTATATATGGTTTTTAGCCTATAACCAAGAAGGAATTTAAGGGATTCAGTAATTTTGCTGTGACAAAACTTCTGTTGTCATTTGTTTCTTTATGTGAATGAAGTTTTTCCCATGTTAAATTCATAAAAATGAAAGTAGGGTTAGAACTCTGATACTCTGGCTCATTATGACAACAAATCATATTCAGACATTTAATTTAACTCATAAGATCCATTACTTTTTATATATAACAGTTATTGAAATATGGAATATTTTTGTTTTGATCAATTATGCATTACAATAATTGCATAGACTCAATTCTAGAAGAAAAATCTAACCACCTTCACAGGAAATTTTGTAAAAGTTTAAATTTCAATTTTTATATACTTTTTGTTGCAGAGAAATAATATGATAGAATAATCAAGTAAGGACTTTTGAGCACGCAAATACATTCCTTTATAATAAAATTCTGTAGGCAAAGTAAATGGAAATATGCGTTACCAGAGAAAAGAA